TGGATATGTAGTACATAAGTTCACACCGAATTATTTAAACATTAAATATCCAGTTTGACCGTTTGAAGCCTTTATTTCCTATAATTTTTATTGTAAGCGTCATTTTGCTTACCAGTGAAACCATTAATGTTAATGATTATTCCGATCATATACGTGGTGGAAGTCAGATGAAGGCTCTTAACGGGCTTATAACAACGTTGTTCAACCTTAAGCTCGAGAAATGAATTATTTCGTGAGTGTAAAGAAGGTCATTCTTTATATGTAGCAGAGCTTCAATAATGTGAATCAAGTACTTGCGCAATAGTTCGATGATAATTTTATTATTAGTTTTATTTAAAAAAAACTAATATGATTTGAAGATTTGATTTTACTTCAAAAATATTATAAAATTTAAAAATTTATTTAAAATTATGAAAACATTAATAGAAGTTAGGATATATATGTATAATTAAATTTCTCTTTATCATCGGATTAATTGATATTCGAGGAATAATGCGAAATTTGATGTTTATACGTCTATCAAGCTGTAATTATAGACTGCTGGTGAAAATAGCAACTATGTGTTCTTGTGAAATTCAGGCTATTGTAACTAGAGCCTTGGCATTACCGTTTCACAAGATGTCTATAAGAACATTCAGCGCATGATAACTTATTGTTTGTATCTTTCTATTTCTTTTTTACTTACAAGTCAGTTGTAAAATTTGTTTTAAGTTTAACATGTTCCAAATGGTCCACCCAAAATTTGTGTTAATTTAATATAAGATATATTAGGAAGTAACACAAATATAATGTAAACAATTAACATAAAAAATTTAAATTCAATATTACAATATTAGAGCTATTCGAGCCATGTTAGATGTCATATGCAAATTATATGTACAAGACAATAAATAAGTCAATGATTAAATTTCAAATGTTTTGACCTTTAATATGGTCATTCTCATATGATATATTGATCAGGGGTTGGGGAAAAAGCTTTTTACAAATTGAGGGAAAACTTTTTACAAGTTGGAGCATAATTGAAATATATTTTTTATATTGTTCACAAACCTTTTATTAAATCAAATATGTACCATTTTGATCGATAATCTTTTGTCATTTTTCGGATAGAGCCATTATTCTATCGGTGTAGAACTTCTGTGATTTCTCGGTAAAAAACCGAGATAACTGATTTTTGCAGGTCTCTTTTGAAGTTAAGTTTACTCCATTAAGGGAGTTCTGGAAAGACCGAAACAAATCGCAAATGCCTCAAAACGGTTTTATGATCAATGTTTAGCTCCTTAGATATGTTATAACTGTTCACATGACAATTTTTTTCAATTTTTTGGAAGATTTCATCGACATTTTCCACAATAGGCCGCCCAGAACGATGTGCATCTTTGACATCAAAATTTCCATCTTAAAATCGGCGAAATTAATTCGCTGCTGTTTGTCTAGTTAGAGCATCCTCTTCATAAACACGACAAATTTTGTCTGCGGTTTGCGCGTTCTTTTCTTTTTATAATAAAAAAGTAAAATGTGTCGGAAATGTTCCTAATTTTTACTCATTTTCAAATTTGATTGAATGCGTCAGTATCATTCAAATCTATGATCAATCTATTTCAAAATATTATGAAATAGCACCTTTTTAAAGATATATAGGGTGGTCCACGTAAAGTGTTACAAGCTAATAACTCTAAAAATATTTATCCTATCAAAAAGTTATTCATGAGAAAGTTTCATATATTCGAGGGTCCTTTCTAACTACGTAAACAAAAATCCACCCCCGTTCCCCTTGAAGAGGAGCAGAGGGTAACTTCAAAGTTTCAAATGGGACCCCTTGTAAAATGTTACATATTTGGATTTTATGGGGAAAAACAAGTAAACTTTGTCTGAAACATTTCTTTGGAAAATGCTCCTACCAAAAGTTATGAACATTTAAACTTTTAGCCATTTTATTCATAATTGAACTCCATTGACACAAAGTTGTGTTCACGATACAATGAAAACGAAAACGACCTTGATGTTAAAAAAAAAAAAAAAAAAAAATAAAAAAAACATAAATACATACATTTATCGGGAAACGTAAATACAGATCTACTATGTATTTAGTTAGTTTTGAGCTAGTTTTCATGCTATCAATTTCGAAAATCATGGCTCATTTTGACGTGGAAGTTAATATGTTGTTAATTCTGAGAGAATGTGAGAAAAATTATCGACATACAGCGCAATTATTTTTAGAACGTTATAATATTAAAAAATCGCAAATGGCATATCTTCGTTTAGAAAATCGTTTGCGTGTACATGGTCAATTAAGTGCAATTAAAAGACAAAAAGCAAATCCAGTACACTGAAAAAAAAGATTGGCTGCTGCAGCAAATTAAACGGTCAAATATGGCATAGCATTTTTAATTGGTTGCAGTAGCCAATTTTTGGTTGTGTTAACCTATCGAAATCCTAATGACATTGCGGATAGGCTAATGCAACCAAAAATTGGTCGTTGCAACCAAAAATTGGCTGCTGTAGCCAATTAAAAATGCTATGCCATATTTTACCATCTAATTTGTTGCAGCAGCCAATCTATTTTTTCAATGTAGTTAATGATGATAATTGTGCTAATATTCTCGCTGCAGTTGAAGTAAATCCACATGTCAGTCAACGCGAATTCGCAAACACGTCTGGAGTTGGACGGTCTTCAATACAGCGGATTTTGAAAAAACAAAAATTTCATCCGTATCGTTTGATTTTGACTCAGGAACTTTTGGAAACTGATTATGAACGTCGTGGAATATTTTGTGAGTGGATGCGTGATGTCATGAAAAAGGATTCATTTTTGCAAAATATTCTTTTTTCTGATGAAGCAACATTTACCAATACTGGATACCTTAATAGACATTCCTGGTGAAAATTTTTCTCATAATTTTTATACGAATTGGAACATTTTTCAGAAATGCTCAGAAATATTCAGAAAGTTTATAAGTTTACATCTTCTTTCAGAATTTTTCATACGAGTGAATTCTGAAATATTCTGAAATTTCTCATCCTATAATTTTTAAAAAATATTTTTTAATTTTTTAGATTTTATAACATTTCATCAGAAATTATACTTACAAAAACTTTTAGAAATCTTACGATATTTCATAAGTAACATATGTGAAAAATTCTGAGAAAGAATGTAAATTTTCTGAGAAGTGTGCCAATTCATATAAAAAAAGTGAAAAAGTTGTAAAATTATATAGAAATTCTGAGAAAAATTTTCACTAGGAATAATATGCATTATCGGTCATATGAGAATCCTCATTGGATGCGCGAAGTTCATTTCCAACATCGTTGGTCATTAAATGTATGGTGTGGAATAATTGGCGATTTCGTAATTGGACCATACTTTTTTGATAGTACTGTTAATACTGAATCCTATTGTAATCTATTAAGGAATCATCTTCCCTTACTTATAGAAGAATTACCACTTAATGTGAGAAGAGACATATGGTTTCAACAAGATGCACTTCCTCATTTTTCCAGAGCAACGTGTATTCTTTTAAATGAGATATTTCGTGACGGGTGGATAGGTCGGGGAGGTCCTGTTCAATGGCCCCTTCGTTCATCTAATTTTACACCTTTGGACTATTTTTTATGAGAGTATATTAAAGAGGATGTCACATCTCAATCATTTACGAAAGAAGACTTAAAACGAAGAATACGTACAGCTTAGAGACCCTCTAATCAGAGTCGCGACAAGAGAAAAAGAGACTTTAGTTAGAGACGATCTTTTTCCCTTAAGGGTCTCTAGTTTCAGTAAAATCACACGAAAGAGAGAGGAATATATGTTGTGTTTCTTTCTAATCTTGATAGTTTCTCACGAGTCGTGATACATCTTTCTGCTCTTGAAGATTAGACGACTTATTAGAAAATTAATAAAAATAATTGCAAAATGGTTGGTTGTGCAGCCCCATCTTGAATAAATATAAAGTTTTTTTTTATATACTTGGCGTATCATTTTTACTTTTGCAAGATATGTTTCAAAATATTAATTAGGTTTTTGCTTATAATAACGTAATCATAAACTTAAATTAGAAAACGATGTGAAATATACAATAAAAATAGATAAAATATGTAAATATTGTGCATGTGTGGGCGAAATATGCAAAAATATGCTGTTATGTACGAAATATGCAAAAATATACTGTAATATATAGAGCTCAAAATGCCTAATTTATTATGAAATTTGTATTTAGTTTATTTCTTTATTAGTCAAATAAAAAAAAGAGGCCCTATACATATTTTGGTTGCCCTAATTATTATAGATGGTCAGTAATTGTAAAAGAAAAACTAATCAAAGTCAATGGAATGAGAAATCCATGCAGCTTGCCATTAGAGAATGCAAATCTGGAAATTCTGTGAAGAAAACAGCCAGAAAACATATAGCGAATTTAAAACATATAATATGTATTAATCTTTTAATTAATTCATTAACTTGCATAAATGCACTGTACTTATCGATCGATGTTCACTTTGCCCTGTCTCCCTATCCGCTTTACCCGGGTATCAGAGCAAAACGAATAGTTTTCATATCTGTATTCATATCTTTTACTGTTTTAAAACGATCAAATGTTTAAAAGTTCTGTTTATTATATGTTAAGCTTTAACAAAGTACAATTAAAATTTCTAATTTAAGTTTGTGATTACGTTATTATAAGAAAAAACCTAATTAATATTTTGAAAATTTGTGTGATAAAAAGTAATTTTCAAATGCATATAATTCCTTTCTTTAGAGCATTTTTTTCTTGTATCCATCAACCAGTAATTTTTTTAAAGCCCTTTAAACTTTAGGGTATCCACTTTGCCCGGTTTCCCCTACAGGTTTTAAAGATGTCCGTTCAGAGCCAAAATTGGCCAATTTTACACTTCACTCTTTCTTTTGTACAAAGGCCAGTATTTATAATCGATTCTTATTACAGGATCGTTTTAAGTAATGTCTTAAAACACTAATATGGCCCTCTGATTGGTTCGTGACATCTTGAGACATCTTAAGATAGTATTAAATATAAGAATTGACTATGAATACTGGCTAAAAAGTGGACGCAGATGGAAAACGAGGGATGAAAGAGCGGCGGAGAATGAAGGAATGGCGGCAGCCGGCGAAGGTAGGTGGCCGTGAACGCGCATCTCGCGCATGCTGCTTTGATGAAGACGAGAGACGAGGATAAACGAAAGGGTGGTTACTGGACTGAAAGAGAAAGAACGAGGGAAGGAGAATGGGTTGCAAGAGAGGGAGTTAGGGAGAGGGAGAAACAGAGATAGAATATGAGAGGGAGAGAAAGAAAGGCTGCCCTGGCGGCAACATCTAGTCGCGGTCACCGTGTGAGAGGTGAATATCGTGCTAATAATCCAATTCGTTCGATTCTCCATGCCACTTCATTCTTTCACACACAACTAAAATATCTACCATTTTTTCGAACTGCTGCACTAACGATCTTGCCCGAGTGAGTGTGAGAATCGAGATCAGGACATTGCTTCAAGATGACGGATGGTGAGCGTTTGAGAATAAGGATTGATAAAATCTATCGACTTAAAGCAGACCTGTCATATGGAGAAGCTTACTTCATTTATTAAATATTGAACAGCAAGGATTTTCAGAGGCAACCAAATTATTAATCGTTCTTTATTGCGCTGTTTTTTTTTCTTGTAATATTGTGTTGTTGTATAACCTTTTTCTATTAATATTGGTTAATGTTATATATTTTTTCATACATCTCTCTCTTATGTCTACTATTATTGTGTTGCTTTTCTTTGGATTGATTCACGTTTATTCTTTTCGATTTTTGTTGATTAAATATTTTTTTTATTTAATTTGATGAATATTATTTATTATCTAAATTCCAAATTATCGTATCTTTTATATGCGTACATATACATATGTATGTTTATTATTTTCGTATAAAATGGAATAATATTAAAATAAGATAACTTAATAATGACAACAAATAGAAAAGATATTGTCGAAAAATTAAGCATAAATTTAAAAAGATAAACAAATATGTACGAACATTTACATTTTCTCAGAATAAAATAATTGTATTATTGTTACTATCATTTTATCTGATAACTAACGCATTTACCTTTCTCTGATGCGTTTTTGAAGCCGGATTGAGTAATTTGTGGTCTTTTATAATATTATACATGCAACTTTAGAGATAATTGACTTATTGTTTATTACATTCTACACTTGTAGATTTATCACAGTGTAGGTCTGTCCTTTGTGATTGTATTTGTGATGTGTTATCTATTTTTTTGTACTTAGAAATGAAATTCTATATAATCAGATGTTAAGGAAAAACAGAGGAAAGATGAAAAGTACAAAAAGTTCAGCTATAGAAGATAAACATTATATTGCACAAATTCGACAAAAATAAAATTATTATTTCAAACTGTATTATATTTTTTAAAAGATTAAGTTATAATTAAGGCACTTTCGTGTGTATATCCGTCGGTCATCTAAATTTATCGAGATATTATATTTTTTATCTTAAGGTGAATATTTCATCCGAACTTAATACCAAGCATTAAATAAAAATCAGTTTCTTCTGAATTTTATTGAGTATTTCCCTAGAATATAATATTGTGATCAGAATCATTTTTTGAATGTAGGTTGTGTGCACGTGTATTCCATGACATGCATATTGATTTGTAGAGCTACTGAAGGCATTGGTGGAATGAATGGCAATTGTATATATTTTATATCTATTACATTAAAAATATTTTATGTTTGTGATAAAATCGGCTTTTGTTAAAATTTTTGTGTTGAATTTTTAACAAATCTGAGTGTTAATTTAACATAATGTGATTGTGTTATTTGAACATTTTGTGTTAAATTAACACTTCTTAATTAGCGTTGCTAATTAAGAAGTGTTAGTTTAACACAAACCTGAAAAATCGGCAAAACCACGATAAATCATGGAAATTTAAATTGGTCGTGGAAAATATGAAACAGTCAGGGAAAAATATAAAAGGGTCTAAAATTTTTTTTGAGCTTTGCTTAATACCCTTCAAATGCTTTTATTCCAAACAGTTATAATTTTTTAAGTAATATATATAACATTTATAGAGTTAAATAAATATTGATTTTCTTAATCAGTATTGCAAACTATGTACTAGGCCATACATGGTTATGTTAAAAGAAATGTAACTATTCCTTTTTGAAATTAGACATTTTTCACAATGTCAAGTTTATTTTTTTGTTTTAATTTCGCTACACAGTTTAATACTAAATTTAATTCACTTTAATTAAATTTTATTATAATTGAGATACACATTTTATTAAATATTATATTTTTTACTTCAAAGTGTAAAATAAAAATATACACCTTTGGGTCATTCGTGTCCTGCGCATTTCTTTCTTTTGAAATATTAAAAGCATCTGATCAAATACCGGTCTCTTTTCTATTCCTAAAAATGGTTTTGCATCTAGAGAATAAGTTTTGTGTGTTGCCGCCCTCAATTCGTACGTATCATTCAACTAGAATAACTGCGAAGTTCACTTCTGGATCACAAATGATCGTCTGTATTATGTACATTCTTGTAATTAAAAATATTTTAATTTTTTTCTTTATTTTAGCGTAAAATCTGCAATATTTTTTGGTAGTGTGTCCAGTGAATACATCTATAATATTCGAATAAATGAATAAAAAATGAATGAAAATACTCATTCGAATACACTTCTTTTTTATTCGTCAAGAAACGAATAAATACTTTTTCATTCCATTTAAATGAATATTTTTTGAATATGATTACGAATATTTTCGTTTCGTATTCACTTTTAAGGTTCGTCTACATAGAAGTCGTAGACTTCGTAGGGTTTTAAATCATAAGAAATTGACCAATTCTAGTCGAGTATTCTCCTTATATTTTATTGTGATTGGTTGGTTTCTTATGACTTAAGACTCCACGACATCTACGACTTGTATGTAGATGACTCTTTACTCTATATTATCTGCATAACGATCTATACGATGGGCGTCCTTGTTTAACTTATAGGTTAAATAAAGACATTTTTATTGGGAATAAATAATATATCTCGGAATTTAATGTCCACAGACCATAATGAACAATGCGCCCAAGATATATCTTATAAAATGTTCATAGCATTACTGTGATGTAACAGGAATTATATCGGAATATATGTGGCGCGTTCTATCAAATAGATATTTATAAATAAAAAATGTAGTACTTTCTAAAATATTTTTCAAAATTTCTAAGTTTCCTTCATAAAATTTGAATATTATAATAACAAAAATAAATAAAGTTCATTTTTTTTACTTAAAGTCATCAAAATACCGGTTAAGGAGTAACGATTGCTTATTGGAGCTTTCTTTTTCAGTTTATATTTTGTTTGAATGAATATGAATACTCGTTAAATATTTATAGTTTTTTTTTTGTGAATAAATATTTTTGGTAAACCCAAAATTTGAATATATGATTACATTATTTTTTATGTGAAAATTTTGAATAATACAATTTGGAGTTTAATTACAAATTTTTGTATTCATCGAGCACACTAATTTTTGGTACTATTAATAATAAAATGATGAAATTCGGTATATTAATATATGTCACGAAGAAATGTCACGCAATTACATTATAGTCGCACGCAGTCAAAGTTATTGTTCTTGGATACGCTATTTTCAAATAGGAGGAATGTCATGTTATTAAAAGAGAGCGCATACAAAGTGTTTCAATTTATTTATTTATGTATAAACAAGTAAAAAGTAGTAATTTTATAGAAAAAGTATTGATCTTTTGAATGTAACAAAAACATCTTAAATGTAACAAAAATTTTGGACCCGTATAAATAAATAAAAATGTTTTGAGACTAAAAAATATTGAGTCACATTGATAATAACCCGATAGGGGTCGAAGTGTTTTTTACAAAAGTTTACAAAAATTTACAAAACTTAATAATTATTAAGCAATAAGCATCCCGCTTGGCTCGTAGCACTTTGTGCTATTTATTTTGATTTTGAATTATTTGAGCCCTTATATTGTTGTTAAATTATTTAAAAAGAGATTCATTTCAACGTTCGCGTATGCGAAAATCTGAATTCATTTCAATCCATTTCAATCCAATTTCGTTTACTGAAGATAAAACGGAATATCCTCCAGCTAATGCTAAATATTCATAGAAAGTTCGATTCATATTCCCAATGTGCCGAATATTTGGACACAATGAAAGAATCGTCACAGAATATACAAATGTCGATGAAATGTTCAGAATATTGTATGAATCCTTGTATATATCACGAAAATCACTTGTGAGCGAGCAGTATACATCTCTGCCGACAGAGGGCTGCGGAGAGCATTTCCTTACGAAAAAAACCTTCAATTTTGAGTGTTAACATTCAAATTTAGGTGTTTACCATCAAAATTCAGTGTTGACCATCAACATTGGGTGTCAGTTGAGAGTTGAGCATCATTATTGGGTGTCGGTTGAGTGTGACCATGAATATTCGGTGTTACTTTGATGTAGACACTCATTATTGAGTGTTGTTTGAGCGTTGACCATCAATGTTGGGTATCGGTTGGGTGTGACCATCAAATCCGGTGAATAATTTGGTGTATACACCATTACTATACACCGAATTTGATGGTCACCAATCACGGTTTATTCTCGATACTTGTATATGACGCTCAATGGATGAGTGTAAATGTTAAACGGCTTAAATCTTTGAGTGTCATTTTTAAAATTGAATGTAAGAGTCACTTGAATGTTAATCTTTATGATTGAGAATTAACGCGGAAATGTTGAATATGGATGCAGATTCATTTATGAAAGAAATATATTTTAACTCTACGTGAAACACTTTTTGACAAACTTTCCTCTAAGAATCTGTATTTGTCGTCACGTTGGTATTATATCGCAACAATTTGAGTTTGTCTGTACTTTTGAAAGTTGTCTTTTTGTATTTTCGAAAATACATTAAATATAAATTTAACGATTTAAAAATAAATTCTTTGAATAGATATTTATTTTTTATTTCATACATATATTAATTGTTTTAAGTATCGAATAATGTTATTATGTTGCAGCGGATGACAGTGCGCAAGGAGATGCGACAACATGCGGGAATATCTTGGTGATATTATCGTGGATTGTCGTAATATTGACGATGCCGTTCTCTCTCTTTGTTTGTTTCAAGGTAAGAGACCTGTTCAGAGGAAGAAAAACGACTTTTAAAAAAAATTCGTTAGAACATTATTCTCATTTATGTTATAAATGTCTCGCTATTCGCTGACAGTTGTGGAAGCGGGCGTTTTAACGAGCAATGTTATTCCAATGTAACTATAGTTACATGGAATTTATGCATAATGCTATTTTTATCCACAGTACATGCAAATGCTCGTTTTCGCTATGCTTTTATTATTATATCGGAGCTCATTGAACAAGATATGTATCATTGTGCAGCTGTTATATGCAGGATTAGGAAAGTTACTTTGCAAATAACTAGTTACAGTTACAGTTTTTTATATTCGATCAGTTAATTGGAGAAATAATAAAATTTATTAGTGGTCAAATTATATGATAAAACGATCAATAATCGAGCTTAATAAAGAAATTATAATTAAACTTTTAATACATTTATTACAATAGAACGTTTCGGAATCACGAGTCCTTTAACAAATTCAGCGATAAAGTTGAATTTTTTTCTTATCGATACACAGATTAATGGAATTAACAGTGATAAGAAATGTAACAGTTAAAATTGCTTGAAAACTTGTTGCAAAAGATGTGGATGATGTTGCATAATACACAATAAAATGTTGAGTCGATTAGTTACCTACAACGAAGACTTGATGACTAATCGTTAAAACGCTGTATTGACTAATGTATTGTTCACATTGAAAATAGGATCTCAACATTTTTTAATTAGAAGTTAATCTCAGTATTATACGACAGCATCTACACCTTTTGCAACAAGTTTTCAAGCAATTTTACCTGTTACATTTTTTTATCACTGTTAATTCTATTAATCTATGTATCGGTAAGAAAAAAATTCATTTCTTTCTTTATTACTGAATTTGCTGAAGAAGAACCTGTGGTTCCGAAATGTTCTATTGTAAATAAATATATTAAAAATTTAATTATAATTTCTTTAATTAGCTCGATTGTTGACCGTTTTATCATATAATTTGTTTGCTTTGCATAATATGAACGAATACGACCTTATTGATGGTGTTATGACGATAATCGTAACTAATTCTAGAATACATTATTTTGAGATTAATGACGTAAACGTCTAAGAATTTGCGACAACTACACAGTTATCATAAGTCTATTTAATGCTTTTTCAAGTAAGTTAACCTCCCTTTTCCGGAGTTTCGTGGGTTTAGAGCTTTGGGTTTGAAAATTTTACTACAACTTCAGCACTTTAAAATACGTAAGAAAAACCTGTATAACATTTCGGTGTTGAGTTAAAAAAAGGTGCTGAATAGTGTAATTTTAAGGGGTTTATCAATTTTTTGAGATTGGAAAAAACTCTGACCCGTTGACGCAATTCTGAGGTTATATTCGGTTTCACAGCCTCAAAATACATAGGGATACACGGGTCCAGCCTCTCTGACATGACACTTTTTATTGCGTGCGTGCGTGCGTGCGTGCGT